TATTTTTTAATGGCTATAGTATTCCCTTGTAAAAATGTACCACAACTGAGTGAACTATTTCTTTATTGTTACACAGTAGGGTCATTTACAACTTTTTACCATTGTAAACAGTGTTTTGATGTACATATGACTGTGTACACTTGTCTGAATATATATATATATATTTAATTTATTTTTGGCTGTGTTGGGTCTTCGTTACTGTGTGCGGGCTTTCTCTAGTTGCGGCGAGCGGGGACTACTCTTCATTGTGGTGCACGGGCTTCTCATTGTGGTGGCTTCTCTTGTTGCGGAGCATGGGCTCTAGGCTCATGGGCTTCAATAGTTGTGGCACGAGGGCTCAGTAGTTGTGGCATGTGGGCTCTAGAGTGCAGGTTCAGTAGCTGTGCCACATGAGCTTAGCTGCTCTGCGGCAATGTGTGATCTTCCTGGACCAGGGCTCAAACCTGTGTCCCCTGCATTGGCAGGTGGATTCTTAACCACTGCACCACCAGGGAAGTCCTATACTAGTTATTTTAACAGAGAAAATTTAATGTAAAGAATTGTTTAAGACCCCCCCCCCCCAATAGCCAAAGCAATCTTGAGAAAGAAGAACAAAGTTGGAGGCATCCATGCGTCCTGGTTTTAAACCATATTACAAAGCTATAGTAATCAAACCAGTATGGTATTCATATTTAAAAAAGACACATAAATCAATGGAACAGAATAGAGGGCCCAGAAATAAACCGACATATATATGGTCAATTAATTTACGACAAGGGAGCCAAGAATATACAGTGGGGATGGGACAGTCTCTTCAATAAACAGTGTTGGGGGGCTTCCCTGGTGGCACAGTGGTTGAGAGTCTGCCTGCCGATGCAGGGGACATGGGTTTGTGCCCCGGTCTGGGAAGATCCCATGTGCCGCGGAGCGGCTGGGCCCGTGAGCCATGGCCGCTGAGCCTGCGCGTCCGGAGCCTGTGCTCCACAACGGGAGAGGCCACAGCAGTGAGAGGACCGCGTACTGCAGGAAAAAAAATAAATAAATAAACAGTGTGGGGAAAACTGAACAGCAACATGCAGATGAATGAAACTGGACCACTACCTCACACCATACACAAATATTAACTCAAAATGGATTAAAGCCTTGAATGTAAGACCTGAAACCATAAAACCTCTACAAGAAAACACAGGCAATAAGCTCCTTGACATCAGTCTTGGTGATGATTTTTTGATTTGACACTAAAAGCAAAGGCAATAAAAGCAAAAATAAACACGTGGGACTACATCAAACTAAAAAGCCTCTGCACAGCAAAGAAAAACATCAACAAAATGAAAAAGCAACCTACCAAATGTGAGAAAATATTTGCAAATCACATATCCGATAAGGGACTAATTAATATCCAAAATATATAGAGAACTCATACAATTCAATAGCAAAACCCCCAGAAAATCTGATTTAAAAAATGGGCAGAGGATCCGAATAGACATTTTTCCAAAGAAGACATACAGATGGCCAATGGTTACATGAAAAGGTGTTCAACATCATTAGTCATCAGGGAAATGCAAATCAAAACCAAAAGGTGATATCACCTAACACCTGTTAGAATGGCTATCATCAAGAAGCCAAGAAATAAGTGTTGCTGATGATGTGGAGAAAAAGGAACGCGTGTGCACTGTTGGTGGGAATGTAAATTGGTGCAGCCACTATGGAAAACAGTATGAAGATGCCTCAAAATATTAAAAATACAACTACCATATGATCCAGCAATTCCACTTCTTGGTATCTATCCAAAGGAAATGAAAACACTAACTCAAGACTGTATCTGAACCCCCCATATTCATAGCAGCATTATTAACAATAGCCAACACATGGAAGCAACCTAAGTGTCCATCAGTGGATGAATGGATAAAGAAAATATGGTATTTATACATAATGAAATATTATTCAGCCATAAAAAAGAAGGAAATCTTGCCATATGCAACAACATGGATGGACCTTGAGGGCATAATGCTAAGTGAAATAAGTAGGACAGAGAAAGATAAATACCGTATTATCTCACTTATATGTGGAATCTAAAAAGAAAAAAGCAACCCCCACTGAAACTCATAGGTCAGAGAACAGAAGGTGGTTGCCAGAGGCGGGTGAAATGGGTGAAGGTGGTCAAAAGGTACAAACGTCCAGCTATAAAATAAGTAAGTCATGGAGATGTAACGTATAGCATGGTGACAACAGATAATAATACTGTATTGTATATTTGAAAGTTGCTAAGAGAATAAATCTTTTTATTTTTATTTATTTATTCAGCCATATTGTGAAAGCACCGAGTCCTAACCACTGGACCACCAGGGAATTCCCCATGTATTTTATATATAGTAGTGTGTATATGTTAATCCAAAACTCCTAATTATTCCCCCCACCATCATGTGGCTATTGTAATTAAAATAAAAACAGAAAATTCAGTTCCTCAACTTGCTACATTACAAGTGCTCAATAGCCACTTGTGGCTAGTGGCCATCATATTGGATACCACAGATATACAACATTTTAATGCTGCAAAAAGTTCCAATGGACAGTATTAATCTAACAATTGGCATTTATCTGATGTTTTGTAGTAAGCAAAGTCTGTTCACCTCCATCTTTGTCTTTAATCCCATGTGATGCTGTCTTGGTTTTCTAAGAGCTCAAGGCAGTGTGACTCAAAATATGGACAGTGTAACTTAAACTGTAAACTGTTCATTACCTGCTCAGGACACTGTAAATATAGAAATTGAGAATAAGCTTCCAGAAAGTTTTCTAGCAAGCTGATCTTGCCACACATTTTTATTGTATTTTACAGAAGTACCAGTCTGCAATGGATTGGAAATTTAAAATGCTGGCCCTTCACTATAGATTGTGCACTTGCAGGTACAAGTGCTCCAAGGTACAAGGATGACTTGGACATGGTTCCGGCCCTCCAGAGCTCAGGGAAGAAAGTGGAGGGAGCCAGAGTTGACATAAGGCCTATCTGAATTGAGCAAACATTGACATATAGACTTGACAGACATCTGAAAATGATTCAAAAACACATAAGGACATTCATTCACTCATTTATTCATCTAGTGATTACTGAATGCCTACTATATACTAAGCACTAGGGATACAGCAGTGAACAGGATAGAAAGTGGAGTAATTGGAATACTCATATATAACTGATGTAAAAAAATTACAGCCGCTGTGGAAAGTATTTTGGTGGTTCCTCAAAAAGCTAAACACAGAATTACCATATGACACAGCAATTTCACTCCTAGGTATACACCTGAAAGAATTGAAAATAGGGACTCAAATAGATCCTCGTATGCCAATGTTCACTGCAGCATTATTCACAATAGGCAAAAGGTGGAAACAACCCAAGTGTCTATTGACAGATGAATGGATAAACAAAACGTGGTATATCCATACAACAGAACATTATTCAGCCATAATGAACCTGACACATGCTACAACATGGATGAACCTTGAAAACACTGTGCTAATAAGCCAGACACAAAAGGACAAATATTGTATAATTCAACTTACATGAAATATTTAGAACACGCAAATTCATAGAGACATAAAGTAGGTTAGAGGTTTACCAGGACTGGGGAGAGAGAAGAATGGGGAGTTAGCTATTCCTTAATGGTTACAAGGCTTTGGCTTGAGCTCATGAAAAAGTTTTAGAAACACATAGCAGTGATGGTTGCACAACACTGTAAATATAATTAATGCCAATGAATTGTACACTTAAAATTTAGTTAAAATAGTAAAAAATAATAAAAAAATAAAAAGACAACTGAACCTACTTTTATGACACAACTGCAACTCTGCTGCAAGTACAAAGTGTTAACACGGAAGGAGAAAACAGCTATGAAGGAGGATGGGTAGTCCACGAAGATTTCATGTAGGAGGTGGTGTTTAGGAAGTTAAGATTCAGTGAGATTTCCACAAGCAGAGAAGACATGAAAACTTCCTGGTAAGCTGTGAGATCTACTTTCCTTAAGGACCCTGGAGCCACTGCCTCGGTTATAATCTTGGGTCTGTAATTAACTGGCTCTGTGACCCTGGGAACCTCTCTGCGCCTTAGTTTCTTTCTTTTTTTTTTGTTTTTGCGGTACGCGGGCCTCTCACTGTTGTGGCCTCTCCCGTTGCGGAGCACAGGCTCCGGACGCGCAGGCTCAGCGGCCATGGCTCACGGGCCCAGCTGCTCCGCGGCACGTGGGATCTTCCCGGACCGGGGCACGAACCCGTGTCCCCTGCATCGGCAGGCGGACTCTCAACCACTGCGCCACCGGGGAAGCCCCATCGCCTTAGTTTCTTTATCTGTAAAATGGCGACAGCAATGGTACCTTCTGCTAGGGTTGCCGTAAGGATTAAATTAGTTAATACATGTTGAAGTGCTTAGATCAGTATTTGGCACAGAGTAAATGTTATATAAATGTTAGCTATTCTTAATTTTTGGCCTCACAGCGGTGGCTTGCGTAATCTTAGTTCCCCGACCAGGGATCGAACCCGCGCCCTGGGCAGTGAAAGTGCGGAGTCCTAACTACTGGACCGCCAGGGAAGTCCCTGCTATTCCTATTTTTAATTTTTTCTTTTTTTATGAAAGTAAATGTTTACTGTGGAAAAAAACCTAAGACGAAACTAAAAATCGCTTAAAATTCTACCACCCAGAGACAATCACTGCTGTTTATTGTATTTTCTTCCACAATTTTTTTGTACATAAATATACGGAGCTCATCCACGCACCTCTTTAGACTTTCTCCTCCGCAACTCGCACACGCCTCCAACCGTCCCACCGTTTTCTGAGCACCGAGAGAATGGATTTTGTATAACACAAACGCCGTGCCTTGCCTTCGTCACACAAACCACGCCCCAGGTTGCCGCTCGCGCGCCGCGAGAGTTTGCGAGAGGGGGCGGGCCAGGGCGGCCTCCAAGAGGAAGTGACGTAAGCACAAGCGCAGTGATTATGCGGAGGTCGCGGAAACAGGAGAGCAGCTTAGCGCGCCGCGCTGGTTTCCGGAAGTGGCTGCTGCTGCGACATGCTTGCGGAGCTGGGTTTAATCGGGACCATAGGCGAAGATGATGAGGTGCCGGTGGAGCCAGAGACTGACTCCGAAGACCAGGAGGAGGAGGTATGAGCCGATCGGGGTGGGAGCGCGGCGGCGGGCAGCCGATGTCCTTGACTGCTTCCCTTCCCCGTGGTGCCTCAGGTCCCTGCCCCCAAGGGCTCAGCATCCTCTGCCAGGCCGGCAAGTGTCCCTGGGTCTCACCCGGACCCCCAGATCTTCCTCAGTTTGCTCGCCACTAGCTTTTCCTCACCTCCACACCTGTGCTCGTGCTATTCTCTGTCGCCTTGGTGAACTCAGTACCCATTCACTGAACTGATATTTAATCCAGGCGCTGTGTCCTAGAGATCCAGAGACAGAGTCAGTCCTGCTTCCTAGTCAAGGAGCCATGGTTATCCATGCGTTCATTAAGTCAGTATTCATTGACTATTTATATGTGCTACACCTAGTATTAAGCATTCAGGACACAGCAGTGAACAAGAAGGGCAAGGAACACCGCTCTCCTGAAGCTTATGTTGTGGTGGGCAGTTAGAGACATTAAACAGCATAGCAATTAAAAAGGGACTGGTGTCATGAAAAGGTGCGCATCCTTTAAAGCTCCAGCTCAAGTGCTTTCCCCTCTGTGGCCTCATCTGCTTACTGACACCTCTGGTTTGGGCGTCCCTCGGCCTCTACAAATTCAGCTTTTCCAAAGCTGAACTCTGGTCTCCCTCACCCTCCCAACCTGCTTTATCTCAAGCCAGAAACCTTGGAGTTATCCAGCCTCTTTCCCCTCCAGTGTTCTGCAGGCTACCTCGGAAATGTCTCTTAAGCTTCTTCCCCCCTCAGTCCACACTGCTTCCGCCCTTGTCCAGGATACACTGCCATCTTGTACCTGGATACCTACAATCCTAACATACCTGGTCTCTGTTTCTCTTGTCGCCCCTCCCCCCAAGTGTATTTTCCACTTAACAGCCAGAATCTTTTCGTTTCTTGAATGGAAAACTATCACAGAAAAATTATCACTTATATGTGGAATCTAAACTACGACACAAATGAACATATCTACGGAACAAAAACAGACTCACAAATATAGGGAACAGACTTGTGGTTGCCAAGGGGGGGTGGGGGGAGGGAAAGACTGGGAGTGTGGGGTTAGCAGATGCCAACTATTATGTATAGGAAGGATAAACAACAAGGTCTTACTGTATAGCACAGGGAACTAGATTCAATACCCTGTGATAAACCATAATGGGAAAGAATGTGAAGAAGAATATATATGTATAACTGAGTCACTTTGCTGCACAGCAGAAATTAAACACAACATTGTAAATCAACCATACTTCAATAAAATTTTTTTAGAAAATTGTCATAGAAAAGGACTGAAGGAAATATGGCAAATGATAGTGCTAAACTTCAAGTATAGCTTGAAGTGCTATACAATTACCGGTTTAAACCAGGTACTGGAGAAATGAGATATAGTCATTACTAATAATAAAGTTTAGGGTCAGAGTTCTTATGAAATTGTTTAACTCAAGTAAGAAAAAAAAAAATCAGTATAGCACTTTTTAGTTCTCAGGGTTTTTTCTTCTGTTTATCCTCCTGAAGCCATAGTTCAGCCAGTTCTCCTTCCTTTCCCATTTCCAAATGTATTGGGTTAAAAAAATTTGTTGCTGTTGTTATTTATTTCTAACTTAATTGAATTGTGGTCAGAGAACAGAGTCTGTATAATATTGATTTTTTTGAACTTATTGAAGATTTGCTTAAAAGGAATACTACGTGATCAGTTTCTGCAACTATTCCACGTGTGCTTAGAAAGAATACATGCTAGTGCAGTGTTCTCTGTATGTTCATTGGAATAAAGCTTATTAATTGTGCTGTTCAAATTTTCTACGGACTTACTCATTTTTTTTGTCTGCTTGATCTGTCAATTATTGAGATGTGTTAAAATCTCCCAGGACAATTGTAGATTATTCTACTTCTTGTCATCTGTCAGCTTTTGCCCTGTATATTTCTGTTCTCTTATTGGGTACCCTCATTTCCTTCCTCTTTTTCCAGTGTTCTTTCATCTCAGTCCCATAGTCATCCTGCTTCTCCCTCTTCCCAGGGGCCCATCGTGCTGGGCAGAAAGCAGAAAGCCTTGCAGAAGAACCGCAGTGCCGATTTCAACCCTGACTTTGTTTTCACTGAGAAGGAGGGGATGTACGATGGCAGCTGGGCCATGGCTGACGTCATGAGCCAGCTCAAGAAGAAGGTGAGACTGACACAGATAGGCAGTTCCAGGCTGTAGGCTGTTACGGTTGGACAGTGGGCTTCAGGGTCCAATGGTTTAGGAATGCCAAATGTTACATATAAATTGCTTAAAAAATGGACATAGCTATGTTACAATTGTCTCTTTTCTAGGTATTCGCTCCTTGTTTTGAGTATTAGAAAGAAACCTTTTTTATGTTGTTTTGTAACAAAGAACAATCTAGCAGGCATCCTCGGGAGTGGTGTTTTTGAAAGCTTGACTCTGCCCCACAGATACTATCACTCTCTGTCACTTGCCAGGTGATCTCATGTGGCCTTTCTGTTTAGGGTCCCTGGTTCCCACACATCACAGCCAAAACTGCCGTGAATGTCTCTGTCATCTGCTTGTTTGCCAAGACCCTGTGCTTTTCTTTGAATCTGGTTAACCAGCTAGAAGGTGCTTAAAAGTTGTTTTCCATTTCACGTGCTTCCGAGGGAAATACTGCCTGCTCAGGGCAGTTTAATCCAGACCCTGCTGGTCCTTGTTCTGTTTCAAATAAAACAGCATTGCCTTTTCAAAGTCATCTTGAGCGGGTTTTTTTTTTTTCCTTTTCATGTGTACTTCATGTAGTTACTGACTTGGTCTTATAGCACTTACATTCTAGCAGGGTAGAACATGACTAGACAAACAAGTAAGCCGTTCCTTATGGCTGTGGTAAGCACTGTAGCGGGTCAGGGTGCTTTGAGGCGGTTCAGGGTGCTTTGAGCGTGCATCAAGGGGGCCTGCCATTACCTCACCTTTTGAAAATTTTAGCAAGATCCAGCGTTACCTGAATTTGCTCGCCTTTCAACAGTTTGATAGGCTAAATTATGTCCGATGGGCAAGGGGAAGAGTTTTTCCAAGTAGCATTCAGATACAATGTGACATCTCTTGGTAACTGTATCATTCTCAATATTAAACACCTACAATGTGGGTGTTCTTACTGGTTCCAGGTAATTTGAAGTTTTTTCACAAAAAGACCATTTATTTAATGGTTTTTTGTTTGCTTGTTTGTTTTGTTGTGAATAATCTATGGATTGATTAACCTGTCCAAGTACAGATGAGCTTTTTCTATATTTGACATCTGAGACCCTACCTTAAGAAGCCCTTTGCTTTATCTCTTTCCCATACGTATGTTTCTTTTTCATCTTTTTATTTTTATCTGTAGAGGGCAGCCACGACATTAGATGAGAAGATTGAGAAAGTTCGAAAGAAAAGGAAAACAGAGGTGAGTAAGCAAAGCAGTTACTTCTCTTTGTAGGTGAGCCCTGAGCTTTACTCTCAGCGTGACCACACCATTTCTCTTGGAGCCTAGGTTGCAGTACAGCTGGTGCAGGCAGGCTTTCTCTGTGTGTCTGTGGTTAATAGTCACTAAGAATCCACATAGTTTTCTCCCAGGCCTGGGAGCATAATATTTTTCCCTTCCTTCCCTTCCCTTTCCCTTCACAGGTTCTGGATTTCCTGCAGTTTGTAGTCGCCTTGCTTTATTACAGTTTCTTTTTCTAGGATAAAGAAGCCAAATCTGGGAAATTGGAGAAGGAGAAAGAAGCAAAGGAGGTCTCTGAACCAGAGGAGCAGGAAGACTTTGAAGGGAAAGATGAGGAAGCCACAGAAGATGAAGAATCAGAGACTGACTACTCGTCAGCTGATGAGAACGTCCTCACCAAAGCAGGTAGGCGATGCTGTCAGAAATGGGGACAGGAAATGGGAGTGCTCGCTTTTACTTTGTAGGTTATCCTGTGCTCTTCTACACAGTTAAATGTAAGATCTCCGGGTCGACCTCCTTTTTTTTTTTTTTTTTTAATTATTTTCTTTTTTTAAATGAATTTATTTATTTATTGGCTGCGTTGGGTCTTCATTGCTGTGCACGGGCTTTCTCTAGTTGCGGTGAGCAGGGGCTACTCTTCATTGTGGTGCGCGGGCTTCTCATTGCGGTGGCTTCTCTGGTTGCGGAGCACAGGCCCTAGAGCGCGTGGGCTTCAGTAGTTGTGGTGCGCAGGCTCGGTAGTTGTGGCACACAGGCTTAGCTGTTCAGTGGCACATGGGATCTTCCCGGACCAGCGTTCGAACCCGTGTCCCCTGCATTGGCAGGCAGATTTTTAACCACTGTGCCACCAGGGAAGTCCCGACTTCTTTTCTTTTAGCTTCTCTCTTTTTTTTTTCGGTACGCGGGCCTCTCACTGTTGCGGCCTCTCATGTTGTGGAGCACAGGCTCCGGACGCGCAGGCTCAGCGGCCATGGCTCATGGGCCCAGCCGCTCCGCGGCATGTGGGATCTTCCCGGACCGGGACACGAACCCATGTCCCCTGCATCAGCAGGCGGACTCTCAACCACTGCGCCACCAGGGAAGCCCTAGCTTCTCTTTTTCCTTGGGATTTTGTTAGGGTTGTTGTACTTTGCAGTCAGAGTTCACTCTTTTTCTTTTTCCTTTTCTTTTTTTTTTTTTTTGGTCATGCCGCGAGGCTTGCGGGACCTTAGTTCCCCGAGCAAGGATCAAACCCAGGCACCAGCAGTGAAAGCGCCAAGTCCTAGCCACTGGACCGCCAGGGAGTTCCCACGTTCACTCTTTTCCTCATCTCCAGCCCCACACAGCTGTTGGCACTTCTATGACTCAAACTTATTTGGGGTGATAGGTCCCCCCCCAACCTCAGATGAGTCCAGCCACGTAGCAGATGCTCCATTAATATTTCTTGCAGAAATGAGTGCTAAAGCATCCTTATATAGCACAGTGGTTGGGAGCCTTGTCTCTGGAAGCTGCCAAGTTTGCTTCCTGTCTGACCTCAGGTGAGTGACTTACCTGCACGGCTGCACAGCCTCCGCTTCTGTGAGGCGACGCTGGTGACAGGAGCTCCCTCAGGTTGTTGCATGGATTCAGTGAGGCGTCCATCCACGTAATGCACTTAGGACAGTGTCTAGCAGACTGAGTGCTCAGGAAGTATGAGCCCTGATTATCAGCTCTCTTTTTCTCCATAGATACACTCAGAGTAAAGGAGCAGAAGAAAAAGAGAGGACAGGTGAGTGTGGGCTTGGACAGCAGTATGCAGCCTGTTTTTACAACCTGAAAGAATTTTAAGGTCATTTAGTTCCCTTTTTGCTGAACTCTCATTCTGTCTTTTGATTTTCTGATGTAGGAAGCAGGAGGATTTTTTGAAGATGCATCTCAGTATGATGAAAACCTCTCATTCCAGGACATGAACCTTTCCCGCCCTCTTCTGAAGGTAGTGGCTTCTTTTGTCAACCATGGGATTCTTGCAGTCGCCCCGTAACCGGGCTGTCTGCCCTAAACTGGGCTCGTGGCCTCCCTGAACTCTGTTGTCCAGAGAACCCTCTTACACAAAGATTTCCATCGTGGCCTGTACAGCCCTGCCCCTTCTGGGCCCCTTTGATGATGTCTGTCAGCAGCCATTCTGCTCTGGCCGCACTGGCCTCACTGGCCCTCACACAGGCCAGGCGTCTTCTTCCCCAGGGCCTTTGTGCTTGCTGCTCCCACCGCCTGGAAGATCGTTCCAGAAATCTGGCTGGGGTGCTCTTCGCCTCTTTCAGGATTCTACTCAGTACCCCCTGCTCAATGAGACCTTCCCTGACAGCCCTTCTGTAAACTGCTCTCATCCCCTCCCCCTGCCCTTGCCAGCCCCCTTGACTGCTGTAGCTTTCTCCATAGCATTTATCTTCATATGACACATGTTTGTTTCCAGCCTCTTTTTTCTACCAGATTCTGAGGGCAGGGTTGTTCCTTTTGTTTGTTACTATATCCTCAGGGCCTAGGAAAGTGACACACAGTAGGTGGATTGAATGACCGGGAGGGATTGAAACCTGTTTGGAAACCTGCCTTGTTTGTTTTGTGCTGAGACCCCCTCCTCTCCTCTCTGACCCTATCTTTTCTTTCTCTTCAGGCCATCACAGCCATGGGCTTCAAGGAGCCCACACCGATCCAGAAGGCATGCATACCCGTGGGTCTGTTGGGGAAGGACATCTGTGCCTGTGCAGCCACTGGGACAGGTAAAAAGGACAGGGACGTGGGGGTGGGGGAGGGAGAGGAGGAAGAAGGAGGAGGATGTGCAGCATAGGATAGGCTCTGGGTTGACTTACCAAAAGCCCACTTTGCCAAATATGCAAATATAAATTTTAATGCAATAACATTATATATTCTGTGTAGTAACTTCCCTTTTAAAAACATATTAATATATATTTTTCTGTTTTTTTAAAAATACTCTTTACTTTTTTTAAATAGGGCAGTCACAGGTTACAAGTTTCAGGTGGTCTGGTGAAGGTCATTTTTATTTAATCCTATCAGGGTGTCTCTGTGACCATGACCTCCTGTCACTCCCATGATAAGCCCCTGTCATAGGAGTAGAGATTTTATAAAAGGGATGTTTATCACAACATTGTTTATTAGTGCAGTTAATTATATAGTCATGTAATAGAATAGAATAGAAATAGTCATGTAATAAAATACGATGCAACCATTTAAAAAAAATTGAGTACTTAAATAGGAAAATGTATGTTTTTTTTAAAGGGAAGTTACTAAACAATATATAGTGTTATTGCATTAAAATTAATATTTTTGTATTTTTGTCCGTTAAAAAAAATGATTGGTAATATAGATACTGTTTTGGTAATGCTTACCTCTGGTTGGCTGAACTGTGGGTGATTTTTATTGCTTTCTTTTTTTTTTTTTGTATTTCCCAGATTTTTTACACTGACCATGTGATTGATTGATTGATTGATTTGTTTGTTTGTTTGTTTGTTTTGCCGTACTCGGGCCTCTCACTGTTGCGGCCTCTCCCGCTGCGGAGCACAGGCTCCAGACGCGCAGGCTGAGCGACCATGGCTCATGGGCCCAGCCGCTCCGCAGCATGTGGGATCTTCCCGGACCGGGGCACGAACCCGTGTCCCCTGCATCGGCAGGCGGACTCTCAACCACTGCGCCACCAGGGAGGCCCAATTGATTGATTTTTAAAATTTATTTTATTTATTTATTTTTGGCTGTGTTCTTCGCTGCTGCATGCAGGCTTTCTCTAGTTGCGGCGAGTGGTGGCTACTCTTTGTTGCGGCGCACAGGCTTCTCACTGCGGTGGCTTCTCTTGTTGCAGAGCACAGGCTCTAGCCATGAGGGCTTCAGTAGTTGTGGCACGTGGGCTCAGTAGTTGTGGCTCACGGGCTCTAGAGTGCAGGCTCAGTAGTTGTGGCACACGGGCTTAGTTGCTCCGCGGCATGTGGGATCTTCCTGGACCAGGGCTCGAACCTGTGTCCCCTGCATTGGCAATGGATTCTTAACCACTGTGCCACCAGGGAAGCCCTGACCGTGTGATTTAAAACCAGAAAAAAAGTTTTATGAAAGATAAGTTGCTTCATTTCCCTCTGAGTAGATATGTAGGTTTTCTGTGTGCAGGTGAAAACCTGGACCTGGGAAGGACAGAAGCTTTTCTCATTTTGCTTTCCTGCTGCCCTTCCCTCCAGGTAAAACTGCAGCTTTTGCCCTGCCCGTCTTGGAGCGTCTGATCTACAAACCCCGTCAGGCCCCAGTGACCCGTGTGCTGGTGCTGGTTCCCACCCGGGAACTGGGCATCCAGGTGCACTCCGTCACCAAGCAGCTGGCCCAGTTCTGCAGCATCACCACCTGCCTGGCTGTGGGTGAGTGTCTGGCTGAGGGCTGGCTGCCTCTGAGAGAGTGTGGCGCGGTGGAGGGGGGATGTGCGCCACCGTCTGAGGGTGACGGGTACAGGAAAGCCTTCATGTGATTGAAACCACTTAAAAATCAGATGATGTTTTCACGGTAGATAGTGAAGGCGATGGGGAGGGCTTTGACTGAGGCTTCACCAGCCTTGCAAAATGAAACTTCAAAATGATGAAACAAATTTTTTCTTGATACTGAACAAATTTAGGATATAATTTTGTCTTGCATGAATAATGAATCAAATATTTATTGGGGCAGAATCTTTCTGATGATGTTTAGTATGATAGTGTTATCTAACCTTCATTTTATCCTCCTTATGCAGTAGGAAATTGTAGGTGATTTAGAAAGATTATCAGTTTCTCAGCTGCATCTCTCAGTTGGTGGATGGTTGAATTGTTGTATGCTGAAGTGGCTTTGTGTCATCATCGTTTTTGATTTTTGCACTTAGCACAACTGTAATTAAATAATCTGTCTCTCCCACCATATTGTAAAATCTGCGCAAGTGGGGCCTCTGTCAGTCTTGTGCTCTGCCGTTTGCTCGGCATCTGCTGTGGGAGCTGGCAGGTAGCAGGGCTCAGTCCATACTGGTGAGTGATTCAGCTGGCTGCCTGGTGGGCTTTTCTTTTTGCAGGCGGCCTGGACGTGAAGTCTCAGGAAGCAGCTCTCCGGGCAGCGCCTGACATCCTCATCGCCACCCCGGGCCGGCTCATCGATCACCTCCACAACTGCCCTTCCTTCCACCTGAGCAGCATCGAGGTGCTCATCCTGGATGAGGCTGACAGGTACACCTGAAATGGTGGGGTCCCCAGGGCCACACCCCGGGGCGGGAACCTGCACTCTGCCTGGCCCTACATGGCTCTGACCAGTTCAGCTGTTCATGTTTGAGCCTTTGTCCATCTTAGCCCGGATTATCCTGCTCTTTTTCTGTAATGTGATGGTTAAGAGGGAAGGCAAGTTAAATTCTGGCTCTACCGCTTCCTGAGATTGGGAAACGTTATTTAGAGTCTCAAAGCAAATCTTTTCTTGTTTGTAAGTGGGGGATAAGTACCCACCTCATGGTGTTGAGGATTCAAGGAGTAACTCCAATAAAGTGCCCAGTGCGTAGGGAGGATTCAACCAACAGCCTCGATCACTCTGATGCAGGCTCCCCCTCCTTCCCCCCTTCCTCCTCTTCCCTCCCTCCCTCTCTTCCTTCCTTTCTCTCATTCGTGTCCCATCTGCTCACCTCTTTCCTTCGTGACTCAACAGAATGAACTCTTAATGAACTGGACTGCTGTGGAGGTGGCAGGGTAAGGAGGCTGTTCAAGTTTACTCTCAAACTGAAGCATCTCCAAACTAACCAGGTCCTTAACCAAGTTTCTCATCCTCTGTGCCCCTCTCCCGCTTCCCATCCCACTGAAGGGCAACTCCATCCTTCTAGTTGTTTAGGCCATATTCTCAGTGCCATTCTTACCTCCTCATTTTCTCATCCCCCCCAGGATATCCATTGGTAAATCCCATCCACACACTCCCACTTTGGGGCTTCTCTTCTGCATCGTCGTTCCCTCAGCTTGGAATGACCTCCTTTACCTCCTCAGGTCTCTGCTCCAGCTGTCACTTTGCTGGCCACTCTATAACAGTTCCTGGGACTTCCCTGGTTGTCCAGTGGTTAAGAATCCGCTTGCGGGCTTCCCTGGTGGTGCAGTGGTTGAGAGTCCACCTGCTGATGCAGGGGACACGCGTTCGTGCCCCGGTCCGGGAAGATCCCACATGCCGCAGAGCAGCTGGGCCCGTGAGCCATGGCCGCTCAGCCTGTGCATCCGGAGCCTGTGCTCCGCAACGGGAGAGGCCACAACAGTGTGAGGTGCACGTACAGCAAAAAAAAAAAAAAAAAAGAATCCGCTTGCCAATGCAAGGGACACGGGTTCGATCCCTGAAGATCCCACGTGCCACAGAGCAACTAAGCCCATGCGCCACAACTACTGAGCCTGCATGCCACAACTACTGAAGCCCGTGCACCTAGAGCCTGTGCTCCGCAACAAGAGAAGCCACCGCGATGAGAAGCCCACGCACCGCCATGAAGAGTAGCCACCGTTCACTGCAACTAGAGAGGAAAGCCTGTGTGCAGCAACGAAGACCCAGTGCAGCCCCCAAAAATAACTAACTAAATAAATGAAATATTTTTAAAAAAACAAAAAAACCCGGTTCCTCCCTTCCCCCCACACCCCTGCCTCGTCCTTCCCTTCCTGCCTTATGTTCTCTGAGATGCTACACCTCCTTGACCTCCCGCACTGTTACCTGAATGCTCGTGTGGTGGCTGTGTCCCTCTTCTCCCCAGAACTTCATGTTCGAGAAGGGCCGGCTTTGTGTTGCCTGCTGCCACATCCCAGTACCAGGGCCGTGTCTAGAATCTGGCAGGTGCACAGTAGGTGTTGAATAAGTGGTAGACTGCCTCCCCCGAGCATTCTTGAGGCCTGAAGGAGGTAAAGGAGATCGTTCTAAGCCAAGGGAACATGATCTGATTTAGGTTTTAAATATCAAAAATATCAATGTCTCAAAAGACCAAGAAAGGCCGTGGAAGTTTCAGACTGAGACCAAAGAGACACGACAACTAAAGGTGATACCTGTCCCTCAACTGCAGCCTGAACTGGACGAGAAATACTGTAAAGGATTGGGTGGGTTGAAAAAATTGGAGTCACAGTAATTTCTCAGATGACTGTTATCTGCAAAGAGAAAGAGGTTCCTTTCCTCCACCACTGAAGTGGTGAAGACACCACTTCAACCAAGTGGCCGAACTGCAATGCTGGAACAAACTGTCTGTCTCCGGATGGAGTGAGAGTGAGGTGCACAGCTGCCCCCCACCCCGCTCCCAGCAGTGATTGTTGAATCCAGTCACTGGAGAATGATTAGACATATTCAGAGTGTGAAAAAGGATGAGAGGACTTTGTAGACTAAGGGAGACTAAAGAGATGTGACAACCAAGTACAACGTAGGAACTGTCATTCCTGGACTAAAAAAATAAAAAGACAGCTCTAGAATGACGTTTGGGGGACAGTTAGGGAAAACTGAATATACATTGTACTTTAGATACCATTCAGACACTTGAATTTCTCAGGTGTGATAACGACATTGTGTTTATGTAGGAGAAAGTCACCGTTCTTAGGGAATGTGTGCTGAAATATTTAGGGGTCCGGTGTCATGATATCTGCAACTTAATAGCATATGATTCAGCAAAAGAAAAAAAAGAAAGACTAAGCAAATATGGGCAAATGATAATTCTTGGTGATCTTGGAAAAAGGGTAAAATAACAATAATTAAATAAGTAAATAAATGAGCCTGAAACATAACCAATGACAGTATCGAAACATCACCTGTGCAGTGTTTTCTATCCTTCATCAATACAGATGCAAGCCCAGTCCATTTCTCTTGATTCCTCCCCTCCCCCGCTCGCCAGGATGCTGGACGAGTACTTCGAGGAGCAGATGAAGGAGATCATCCGAATGTGTTCCCACCACCGCCAGACCATGCTCTTCTCAGCCACGATGACGGATGAGGTGGGCTGTAGGGAACAGAGGGTTGGTGCAGAGGACCCCGGGCTGAGCTGGAGCGCCAGCTTGCCTCCCTCCCTGCCACCTGACAGGCTGGTCAGCACCCCTGCCTTTGTGCCTGGCAGGTGAAAGATCTGGCTTCTGTCTCCTTGAAGAATCCCGTCCGGATATTTGTGAACAGCAACACGGATGTGGCCCCCTTCTTGCGGCAGGAGTTCATCCGGATCCGGCCAAACCGGGAAGGGGACCGGGAAGCCATCGTGGCAGGTGAAAGCCCAGGGTGGGACTGAGCAGGGAGGGCTGCTCAACTCCCCTGAGCTTCACACCGAAGTGTTGGTTTTTCCCCGGCGACTCCTCCATCCGGTCTCCCCTGCCCCAGCGTGTGGTACTGCTGTTCCTCTGCTCCACGAGTTCTTCCTCCCTTTCTTTCGTCGCTTCACCTCCCTTCCGCCATCCAGTCCTCTTTATGTCCTGCT